GGCTGGTCGGTAGGTTACGCTGGCGGTTCAGTGGCCTGAAGCAAACGGTTATTCCAGAGTTTTGGTTCGCACTTTTAGAAACACGAGTCGAGAAAGTACCCTGGGTTCAAAACGTAAATCGTGTGACAAGTGACGCAGCTAGCCAGAGAAATGTGTGTTATCTTTATCATCTCATGCAGATAGTTGGAAATTTATTACAACTTTGAGTGTGTGTGTGGGGGGGGAAATCTTTGCTTGGGCTGCTGTTTGTCATAGCAGGAGGGCACTCCACTTCTTACTTTCAGTGGGAAATGCATAATGTTTATTATAATATTTACTTCAAAGCAAAAAAGAAAACCCTAAATTTCTCAGAGGACTTCTAGGGCCTGTTTATGTGTGACAGTGCTCACATGATCTCAGGTATCAATTTCCCCCCACACTGCATATCACAGGATGAAGAAACTCTCTGTAGCTAAAGGAGAAAAAAAAGGTATAAGAGAATTCCGGGGGACTTGCACAGATTCATTCTTAGCGTTAATAGTAGTGATTTGCCAATGGCAAAACTACTGGATGCTGCTTAGAATCTTCACTTTGTGTGAAGACAGCTGCTATCAAATAACATAAAAGAAGTTTTTACATGTATTGGCATTGCTTTCATGAGTAACAGTCAATCCAGTCTAATTCTTAAAAAAATGTTTTTTTCAGGTAGCAGATCTCCTGTTTCAAACAGCAAAAGATGCTGGTCTCAAGTTCGATTCCGTATGCGGTGTTCCTTACACAGCGCTGCCCTTGGCCACGATCATCTGTTCGACACATCAGATTCCGATGCTTATACGGAGGAAGGAAGCAAAAGACTATGGTAAAAACCTTCAAATTGTGAATTTCTCTTCTTGTTGACAGTCTTGCTTGTGAAATGACTTTATATATTTGCTGTTCTTCTGTGATGTGCAGCATCTTTATTTCAGTTTAATGCTACCACTCCAATTGAAAAAAAAGTCCCTTTCCCCCTAAAACCTACTTCCTAAAGCATGTCAGCCTGATAAAACTCTCCCAGAAACAGGGACGTATAGCTCAGTTACTCTGACGTGGTGTGGACCACGACTTCGTTTTAAACCCAAACAGAACTTTGTGCATTTCTATTCCAAGAGGAATCTGTGGACAAGGTGGAACAAATGAGAAGCGATCAGTCCTCTACCAAATTAACTGTTCCTTTGATTGTGGGATGGGGAGGGGTGGAGAAGACTGACATACTAACCTACTTGAGCAGCTGGAGATTTCCTCCTGTGATGAGTGCCATTCTTCTCCTCCGTTCAAACTGAATACTTTTGGATGTTTGTCAAAACTAAATGGTACTCCTCAGGTACTCCTGTGCCAGGCATGAGAATTTTTGCTGTTGCTTCTTGTGAAAGACAAGTTAATGGCAGCAATTAGCTGCCTGGCGTGAGGTTTCCAGTATGGCACTCTGGCACGTGAGGTTTCCAGTATGGCATATATTGTAAAGCTGTATTTACACAAATTCTCCAGTCTGTCACAGTCTAATACGGGCTAAGCACCACACTTGTGGCTTGCTCTTTGCCTGCTGCTCACTGCTCCCTGGGAAGATGGGCATCTTTTGTTGTTGTCCCCTGGGAGGCCATTCGTGGACTTGTGCCTATTGTTAGCTAAGGCGGAGACATTAGGGGCTCTTCCGTTTCTAACTGTTCTAACAGACATATGAAGTATAGAGTAAAACTTGTGGAAAATAAATGTCAAACTGAAGAGCACTAATAACTTTGCTACTTTAAATACACTGTAAATGACTGGAGATAATATTTTAAGGATTTTGAGCATTGGATTCATAGCAATAAAACCTTGACTTTCTGTAGGCGCCTCATTCAAAGATTACTTAAACGTGTGCAATTAATTATCTGTCAGTTTTGTTAGTAGAACGTCATTTTGGAAATACAAAGAACTTCATCCTGTTGGAGAAGTAACAGTCTTCATGAATTTCATTACAATCATGACTGAGCTATAATTAGAACTATGAGACTTGGTATCAGCTAATAACTAAACAAATTACCTTTCCATAATGGAATGGAAATTCCACAGTGAATGTGGAATTCCTATACCATGAAGCCCAATTCCATTATTTACTACAGTGTATGCTTGTGTGCGGAACAGATCTGATCTTTAAGCTAGTGTGGCAACATGAAGATTTCTTGTGGTGCTTTAGGTTTTAGGGTTCTCTTAAACTTTCTTGATTTAGTGCAGCGTGTGCCTTTTATTTTAAAGGTACAAAGCGGCTGGTAGAAGGCACCATTAATCCAGGAGAAACCTGCTTGATCATTGAAGATGTGGTAACAAGTGGATCTAGTGTACTGGAAACTGTCGAAGTTCTTCAGAAAGAAGGAATAAAAGTCACTGATGCCATAGTGCTGTTGGACAGGGAGCAGGGTGGGAAGGCCAGGCTAGAAGAACGTGGAATTCGCCTGCACTCTGTATGCACGTTGTCCGAGATGTTAGAGATTCTCCAAGAGCAGGGAAAAGTGGCCGCTGAGATGGTTGGAAAGGTGAAGAAATTCATTCAGGAAAGCGTGTTTGAGCCAGTGACTCAAAATGGTCCTGCTCCCATGAAAAGACTATGTAAAGAACTGAGCTTCAGCGCTCGTGCTGAGCTACCTGGGATACATCCTGTCGCAGCCAGACTTCTCACGCTTATGGAAAAGAAGCAAACTAACTTGTGCCTTTCTGCTGACGTCACCAACTCCAAAGAGCTGCTGCAGTTAGCTGCTAGCCTGGGCCCCAGTATTTGTATCCTAAAGACTCATATAGATATCCTGAATGATTTTACGCAAGAGGTAATAAAGGAGTTGAGAGCACTTGCAGACCAGCATGAATTCTTGATTTTTGAAGACAGGAAATTTGCAGACATTGGAAACACAGTGAAACATCAATATGAAGGTGATTATCGTCAACCGTGATTTACTGTAACTTTGTTGCCAGGCTGTGTAACTGCAGCTCTGGAACAGGTTGCCAGGAGGGATTGTGGCATCTCCATCCTTGGAGGACACTCAAGGGGACAAGGCCTTGAGCAACCTGACCTAGCTTTGAAGTTGACCCTGCTGTGAGGGGATGACTTCCAGAGGTCCCTTCGAACCTAAATCTTTTTATGAATCTGTGATTGTGCTCAGTAAGTACTTCTGAACAGTTGTTTGCTGTGACGAATGCAGTGTTACTCTTTAAGGCAGTCTGCTACTGTATGCTGGTGTGCTTACTATAGCTTTCATTCAATATGGCATTTGCAGCTGTAGAACCTTTTTTCCGATCCATATGCTCTGTGAGATCCATATGTGGTCTTGAAAGGAAGCACCTGTAGCAGTGAATTTTTAGGTCCATATAAATGCCTCAAGGCCAAATATTCATGTGTTTATGAAAAGTAAAACTGAAAGATTATCCTTTGTGGTTAGGGAGCTATCAGGATTGTTTGATGAGACTGAACTTTTCACTGTCAAGCTTCAGTGGTAAACATGTCTTTTACAATGTGCCAGATTCAGCGTGCTGCTTGTTTTGCTTACTTAACTCATGTTTGCCTTTTAATTTAGCCCAGATCTTCCTGTGTTTTTTCTCAGGTGGTATATTCAAAATAGCATCCTGGTCAGATGTAGTTAATGCTCATGTGGTTCCAGGCTCTGGAGTTGTGAAAGGTCTGAAGGAAGCAGGTCTTCCTTTACAGCGAGGCTGTCTTCTGATTGCTGAGATGAGTTCCCGAGGGTCGCTTGCCACTGGTGACTACACAAAAGCTGCAGTAAGTGGAGAGTTTTATTTGAGATTAAATCTTGTACAGTGCTCTGACAGGGGAAGTTCTGTGTGCTTCTAAAACTTGCACTTTCAGAAGTTTCTTCAGCTCTAACTATTGTAGTTTTTCTTTGTGTGGAGACTCAAGAATCTCAAAGTGTGGTGCTTAAAGGTTACAGCTGTAGGCTAATGATGTAGAAGGATTGGGGTTTACACCACGAATTCTAGTAAACAGGCTAAGTTTGCCGTTGGCCTTGTTCTTTGGCAGTAAATTGTCATTAGTGTTAAAGTTCATCCAGTGTCTTATCTATAACACAGAAACAAGCCTATTTCCGTTCCTGTCTGCAAGCACAGCGAGATCGATTAGGGATCAGTCAGTTCTGGCTCACATTGGCTAGCAAGTTCTCGCTTTACCAAAGTGTTTCATTCCTGTCTTGCACAGCTTAATGTGTAAAAGACTGGACCAGGAGCAGATTGTAGGTCAAACTTAGTTTTAGGTATGTGATTTGTAACTGTTTACTTATCATCTTTAGGTACAGATGGCTGAAGAAAACTCAGATTTTGTTTTCGGATTCATATCTGGATCGAGAGTTAGTAATAGACCAGAATTTCTTCACTTAACTCCAGGGGTACAGATGCAAGCTGGAGGTAACTTTCTCTGAAACATTTATATATAGTCTGATTGTGAGTGATGTAAACAATGTAGCCCTCAGTGAAAAGGTGACTTCTGAAGAAGACAGGGTTGTCCTTTCTCCAGCAGGAGGAGTCTGTCTGCCATTTCCCGTATATTAGCTTGCCTTTATGTTTCTGGATGTACTGATCCCTTTCCTGGGATTTCTGAAAGGGAACCAGCAGACTTAGCAGCTTCTTTGTTAGAACTGTCTGTGCCGAGGTCCGTATGCACCACAGAGTACCGTCCTTAAACATACAAAATGTGTTCGAATGGACGTTAGGTTAGATGTACAACTATTGAGGAGGAGTAGGAAAAAAAAATGATTTGACGAATGCAGAAGTCTACCTGTTGATTTTGACATAGATTCAGTATCATAGGACTGAAAGTCTTGTATTAAATAAACAGCATCTCACTGAACCAGGTGGGGGAGATGCATCTCCCCCCAGTACTTTATTCTTACGAAAACAGAAATGAAATCACAAGCTTTTACTTGAATGTTTGGTTTTGTGCTTGTTTTAAGAAGGCTAAAGCTTATATTAGTAATCCTGATCACTGCTTCTTTGAGTAACTGTTCCATATATTGTTACCTGTAAATCATGAAGAAGAAAGGCTTCCTATGTCGAATTGTATCTATTTAAACTTCTTTTAGTTGGAGACAGTTTCTAGTTATGTCTGTGGATAAATGTTAGGGTGAGAGCTGAAACAGCATACCTGTTCTCTGTTCAAACCTCTCGTTAAAAGTTTTTAGTAGATAAAATTCTGTACAATTTAGAAAAATGGTATGTCTGTTTCAGGTGATAACCTTGGACAGAAGTACCTAAGCCCAAAAGAAGTTATTAACGAAAAAGGTTCAGACATCATTATTGTGGGACGTGGCATCTTATCTGCCTCAGACCGTCTTCAAGAAGCAGAGAAGTACAGGAAGGCAGCATGGGAGAGCTACTTATGCAGACTTGGTGTTCATGTGTCAGATTGAATTAAGGTCGTTTTTTCTAGTGAATAAGCAAAGCTCATGCAGCAGTCAAGATGGAGCTGAAATCATCACGAGACTTTCTCCCAATTAAATACGTGAACACTTAGTGTTAAGTCAGTAGAAAACCATGCCCTTCTGGGGAAATCTCTTGCTGACTCGGTTATTTTTAATTGCGAGCGCACACACAGACAAAACTGTACTTGCCATGACTGTTTTGTAGTATTTGAGTAGATGAAACCAAAACTTGTTGCCAATTTTTAGCTTAATTGCTTTTCTCTGCTAAAAAATGTTGAATGAAAACACTCTGAAGGGTGCTTGCCTGACTGTTACTGCTCTTTGTTTCTTCTTTCCACCCTCACATTCCTTCTGGCTGTGGAAACAATATTTTACTGTTCTCAGTAAACTTGACCTGCAGTGTTGACCTTCTGTTCCACTATCACAGGACTACTTGGCTCTGCCATTTCCAAGGAGCAAGTATCAATCTGAATCCCGCGCTGTGAAGTTGAATAATGTGTTGTTTAATAAACACGTTTGCTACTGTTTTCCACTAGTTGAATATGTAAGTCATCTTTGTGTGCCAGTGTGAAATACTATTAATTTTCAGAACCAGGGCACTAAAAAATAAGTCATTCTGTGTGTTTGTGACTGCAGGAATTACTCATGATTCTTCTTAAAGTCTGTTCTGACAAAAGTTTTTGCAGTTCTTAGTTAATGTTCACTTAACCTACAGTGCAGCTGTTGACAGATTCAGCTAATGAGAAACAAAAATGTACTTTTTGTTGCTTGACCCTATTTTCAAATAACTGGAATACCTCCTAGAATTATTCATACTCTCTTGGATTGTGCAGAAAGGGGAAGTAGAAATGTCATGCATGATGAGTTTTGATTAAAAGGGGTGGAATCACCTTAAGTATATCCGGTATGTTTATGATGGAAATCAGCTTGAATTTTCATTGCTACCACAAGAAATGTAAAGAATACAAAGAAATGGTGATGCAGTTCTAGACTATTGTTTTTTCTGTGCTGATGCAAAGTAGTACACAAAGCTGAATCCCTTTTTAAATACATTTACCTGTTGACTAGGACCAGCTACATTCAGTGAGGTGTCTCCTGCCTTTAGTAATGGACTCCGCTCAGTCTTTCTGAAGAAGAAATTAAGCTGTTATGCTGAAGTTTGAAAGGATTTTTGTTGGTTGTCAGTTGGATTAATCTATGCAGCATATCTAAGAGAAGAGAAACAGACTTGAATTTGAGGGCTCTGCCTTATGCTTCTTGTATTTGTGACTAGCTCTGTTGGCTGTCAGACTTCAGAAACAGGACTGAAAAACCTCCTAGCTGTCTGGGCACATTGCAGGTAACGATTTTATAATCCTTTCCTATTTCATGTTCTCCAGAAGTGTTTCTTGATGAACGTCTTCTGTAGCGCTGAGAAGTTAGTATGGAGAGAATATTGGGATTTATTGTGTGTGTCTTCTTTTCCTTGGGGGTAAGTTTTGCTTCAGGAATCTTCTTATACACCATAGTTTTTACTTCCAGGGAGCTCATTCTAGGAAAGATGAAGGCTCTCTTGGGCATCTTTCCCCGCTGGAACTTGATGAATGCATTGGGCAGCTTGTGCAGCTGAACTACAGTGCTCTGAGTCACGATATTTCACATCAGCGACTAAGATGTTCCTCTCCCTCAAAATGATCAGAGGATTTGGAATTTGTTTATTGTCTCATCTTAATTATCTGATTGCCTTGAGGCCTGTAGCAAACACAAGACTTTCTCACTTAAACTGCTCTGCAGAAAACTGCTTTCTCCAGCAGAGGGAGCTGAGACTCTATTCAGAATAACTGATGCCATAGCTCTTCTACAGCTAATAGTTTCCAGTGATGATACCAGTGCTAAATATGCTTAAGTTGAACATCTGCCTAGTTTTCAACAAAAAAAACACCCCTGACACCCCTAACTTAAAGCAGTAGAGTTTACCAGATAGCTGCCTGGGGTTGGGGTCCAGTAGGGTCTGTTGTTTGTGCTGTAACAGTAGCGACCCTGTTACAGAGTTCTTTGAATTCAGTATTTTCCGCTAATGATGCTAAATTTCATTACGTTTGTGACTGAGATCTACACAACTAAAACCCTGAGCAGAATCTTCTGAGAGCTGATTTATCAGGCCTCTATCTGAAAAGATTGCATCTCTGGCAACTTTTTTGGAGAGGTTGATACGATCTAATATCCAGCTCCTTTTAGAAAACCTTTGCAATGCTTTCTTTTTGTTTATGAAACAAGTTCTGAGGAACAGATTCAGAAACTTGATTTCACAATTCTTCACTCTGTTCTCCAGTAAATCATACAGAGTGAGTTGTTTTCTGGTGTTTCAGTTGACACTGATGTCACAAACATCAGACAGTAAAACAAAAGCATGTCACCTCTTATGTGTACTCTTGTGTCAGAATGATTAAGGTAAACAAATGTGTGCACTTTCTTTGAGGCACCTGAAAGTGAGAAAAATTCATTTCAAATTAAGAACAAACGTTAGTTTCCTTGCTCGCCCCTGCTGCTCACATTCATAGCATGGTCCCTGCTGTCGGTCCTGTTTCTAACATGGGAACTAGGTCACAACTTACAAAACTCATTTGCATCATAATATATGAATCTGGAAAAGTCCTGCAGTTCATTCTCTGATCAAATTGGAGTCTGGCATAGAGGCATATGGCTATATTTAAATTTGCTGGTTGCCGTGTGACCTGTATTATCTGGCAACTAGCTAGCTAAATGAAATTGCTATCCTTAATCCACTCTGCAGTACCATTTGTAATGGAATGAAAGGAAATCACACTTTTTATAGTGAAATTGTGATCAAGTGTTGTCAGTGCTTGCAACAGAAAGAGGGCTGACTTGCTGCTATTTCTGCGCAAGTCCTAGTGGAGAATGCATGGAAGATCTGCACAAGCAGGAAGTATAAAGGGATTGTTTTGGAGCTTTTGTCATGCGTATGTGAAGCTCACTAGATCGGTGGGTATGTCTGTGTGGCACACAGAGTACTCTGTGTGAAGTGCTTGGGCACTTTAATCAGTTTAACTGCATAAGCCCTGTGCTCTATTCAGGCTTAAAATTCTTGCAGAAACAGTTGTCTTGATAAAGCCATCACTGAATTAAAACTTTTATCTAAGTTAAAATTTTTATCCTTATAAATGATTTGTACATCACAGCATCAACGTTGTTTTATTAGCCAGTAATTGGTAGGTTATATTAGTGTTCCTGCAGCCTTTTCTATGAAAAGTTGTCCATGCCCTAATTCCAGGAAAATAACTGAATTGCATCCTTGCAAAGCTCCTTACTGCGAGTTATCTAGCAAGCAACATAAACATTGTGTTTAGGAAACAGTTTGGACCAGAGGAATGTGAAATACCCAGGGGAGGAAGTTTTTTTTTCCAGTTCTGAGTTTCAGAGATCACTGACTCAGGAAAGCGTTCTGCTTTGGAAGTCTTGTACATGAACTGGAGACTAGACAGAGCTGGATGCTTTCTTTGTAATCGCTGCGTCACCTTTTGGTCCTCTGTGCCACAGTGACAAGCGCAGCCTCGTGTTCTAACTTTGCAACAAATTGAGACTCTGTTTGGTGCCTGCTGAAGCTTCAGGTTTTCCTCGAACTCTTTTGGCAGGTTTTCACAGACTGGGAACAATGACCCTGCCTATGTGCCTGGGTTGACTTTGTCCTCGTTCTTGGTTTTCCATTGCTGCATGACTTGTATCCCACTCTGAACTCTTTCTCTGGAGACAGGATGTGAAAATGCAGGGTTGCATGTGGAGGTTGGCCAATATAGAGACAAGAGGGGAAACTCGTGCACGGCTTGTAATACTGTGAAGTGCTTGCTTAGGGAAGAGTCTTCTGAACAGTGGTGGAAAGTATAACCTCAGCTCAAGTATGATTGTATGGGCCTGGTTATGTTTAGGCCGAAGAGGGACTGTCATAGTAGAGGATGAGCTAGTGCGGTCATTTTTGTTTTGTTTCTAGTGAAGAAGCAATAGTAGCTATACAAAAGATGCTTGCACAAATAAGACTATTTGGATGGGGAACTTCTGCTCTGTTGCCTGCAGCTGATTGTTTCTGCTTTGCTGAGAGGTAACGTTTTAGAGCTGAATGGAGAACTTTACGCTGCGCTGTGTCCAGAGAACACCAGCACTAACTAATGGGCAGGGAGAAAGGGATGGGATGAAATCAGAGTTGTATTGGTTTTTTTTTTTTTTTTTTTTTGTGAGCTGGCAGTGAAGATGAGGTAGAGGAACAACACTGAACTTCATGCCAACTTAAAATATGTTCAGCTATGGAGATGATGCTAGAATATATGGGCCAGGAGATGGTGCTGGGCTGCACATGTAGTTAGTTATCTTGCCATGGTCTTTCCTGCCAGGTATTTTAGTGACTCTCTCTCCTGAATACACCAGCTTCCTTGCTTTCCACACGACTGGAGAAGTGCAAGGTTAAATAGGCTGTGTGAGGCATAAAATAGTGTGAGGCATTCAGCTTCTGGAGCTTGGGTTCAGCTTTTAGCTATTAAGCACCTTCTGACTTCATCATACAGAGCAAAGAGGATGCTACAGGCTCGTGTTACAGCTAAGGGTTACAATGACTCCGCACAATTAACAAAGCAATTAATGCTGTGATTGCTATTAACTTTACTCAAGGCATGATACAGCACCCTCTTCCGCAGAACACCAACGGCACTTGAAAACATGCTGATGAAGCGGCAGGTGAGCCCCCAGCCCCAGCAGCTCTGCAGCAGCAGCCTCCAGCTGTGCTGCGGAAACACAAAGGGCTGATGTTGCAATGGCATCCGGATTCCAATTTGGCCAGACAAGCGCTGACATTTTTCCGTCACATGTGACCTGTTGATGCTTTCTGTTATAGTTTTCATTCAGGAATGCTAGCTGTGGTCAGACTGCGTGCACTGAGAGACACAAACAAACTGACTGAAACGCACCATTCGCATGACTGAGCTTGACGCTAACATTGCCAAGCGTAAAGCCAGGTTTACTTACACAGTAAAGACTTCTTACACTCAGCATCGCTTCCTTTTTTTCCATGTTTTCATCTAAAAGAAAAAGCTAAACTCGAGGACAGGACCTATACAAATCAGAAACAGTTGATTCTCTGGGTGTTTTGTATGAAAGTTTCTGTGGTACTTCCTGGTATTAGAAATGATATAAAGGAAGCCTACAGGCTGAATCCTTCCTCTCCCCAAACATTGTAGAAGAGCCAGGTCCAGCCTAAGTACCTTATGAGCTGGTTGCAGCTCCCTCCCTCGTGCAGCCCAGGCACCCTGCAGCTACCCCATCACCCTGCCCTGCCTTTGGTGCAAGCCAGGGAGCAGGAAGCTACCACATTGCTGGAGGAGAGCAGTCTTGGGCCTCTGTACTCTGCCTGTAAAGGTCCTTTACTCCACACCTTCTGATGTTGCCCTAGTTGTGGGCACTGGCAGCAGGTTGCTCTTCACTCACGGTAGCTATCCCCATTTCCTTTTTTTGCCGGAGTTACCCTGCTCTTTCTTGGGAGTCTGCCCTGTGGGCAACCCGTCGCTCTTCTAATTGCTCGCCACATTATTACCCAGCTACATGGAAGAACAGTTTGTTTTACAATTTTTTTTTTCACATTGCTCTTCTGGTTGAAGGCCTCTTTATCCCCTTCTGTGTAGGGTGGTGGGGGGGGGGGGGTTTTAAAAATACATCTTTACATTTATATCTTTTGACCTCTTGCTGTCCTTCTCTTCATTCTTCCTACCAAAACAACCCCTTAGCAGAGAGTCAAATTTTAGCTTCCATGAGCTGCTTTTAGTGACTGTTCTTTCAGCAGTAAACTAATGTGCTGGGAAATGCCACAGCTTAAAGGTAATCTGTAAAAGAAAGAGTGGAAGAGGGGGGCACCAGCTCTGCCTTTCCTTTCTGAACACACAGGAAGAAAACAAATGGCTTTATTTTGTTTTTAAACTGCTTGGTCCCATACAACCCCTTCATATTTTCTTTGGAAAGGCAGCACTGTAGTGACACAGTTTGCTGTTTTGGGTGGCAAAGCTGGTTCCAGCCCTTTCTTCCCCCTCCCCCCTTCCTTTCCTTGCCTGGCACAGTACTGCTCTGTGCATGGCAGTGAAATGAATTGAGCTACAGCTCACCCTGTTACAAAACTACCTGGCCTCTTTATGATGATTATTTCTGAATGTTTTATATTTTTTCACTTATGAAAGCAATGAAACGTTTCTTGCTGAAACAGCGCTAGGCAAGGGGATGCTACTGAAAGCAGGATTTGCCTCATGGACGGTCACTACCTGGTGTCATGGAAGCATTATTCCTAGGTATTCAGTGCATAACAAAGAATCGTCATACGCTGCAAACTTTGACCTGCACTTCAGCATCGTGTAGGAAACATGCAGCGTGGGTTGGCTTCTGCTGAAGAGCCACCGCGCTTCTGGGAGAAGCTGTCCGGTCACTGGAGCCAGCTGGCCACAGCAGCTGCTGGAGGCAGTGCTGCCCCAGAGGAAACCTGCCCCTCTGCAGGGCTCAGACCTTCCCCTTCCTTGTGAAACTGGGAAGGGGCAGATGCCCCTGCTGTGCCCCAGCTCTTTTGGCACTGAAGCATAGCTCGTGGTGGCCTTTCCCCTATCGTGTCCAGCCTCGGTGCCTCTTGGGCAGCTATGCTCATCCAGCTGTTGTGCCAACCTCAGCATCCCTCCATACTTGACTTGAGCATTTGTGCTGCTCAGAACAACCCCTCCCTGCAGCCTGAGGCCTGCCTTAGTCACTGCCAGGGCAGCTGTGCAATCCCAGGCACAGATGACCTGGGTGTAGTCCTAAAAGATGAGCAGGTGAATGGAGTACGAGCACTTAAGAGGCTCCTCTTGCACTTGATTTCAAGATGTTTGTACCACCCCCCTCACCCCCACAACCACAAGTTTGGTAGTCATCCAAAAGTTCTGTAAATTCTGAATTAGAAAACCAAGCCAAGACAATATTTCACTTATTTAGTCTTTTTATAAACCAACTAATCAATTCTGATGCTGAGCGTACAGATTGCTACACTATTAAAAAGCCTTGTTCCTAGCTATTTTTAGTACAGTCTTGTGTTCCTTCAGCACTGCTGGTGATTGGGGGGGGGTCAGAAACATCTTGAAGGAGAGCTGTTTATGCTGAGCAAATAGAAGCTCCTGTTTATAGAGGCAAAAATAAATTAAAAAAAAATCCGGAAGGATGGGCCCGTGGCCATTTTCCAACGAGAAGAGCAAGTCAAAACAATGAACGCTATTTGTTTTTGCTTTTCCCTGGCAAGCTTCCTTCAGTTGACTAGTACATGATCTGCTCAGGGCAAAGAGAAAAAAAAAACAAAACAGGCAGTAGCAATTGCACTGGCTTCTCTCTCCTACCTTCTGCTGAAGTCCCGCTGCAGTGTTTGTGGGGGTTTAAAGCTGCAGCTGTCATCTGGGTAACTTCAGCCCCAGCTGCAGGGGGAAGCAGACTGGCCAGGGAGAACAGTTTGGGGTAAAAAAACGAGTGCAAAACACAGGTTGTGAAGCAACTCACAGTACGTCCACAACCCTGCGTTTCAGCCAGTTCCCTTTCCAGCCAAGAGCTCAGGGACTCTGTTTTTATAGACAGGCTCCACTTGACCCTACAGCTGTATTCCTGCAAACAACTGCCCTCCTGCAGTAACTGAGGCTGCAAGCCTACTCGCGAACACCAGGGACTCAGTCTTCAACATTTCCTCACAGTACAACTCCTGTTTCCCTTGGGTTTCCCCTCAAAATTCCCCTTCTGCTTTAAGAAAATGGGAGCAGCAGGCTGTGAGCTCTTTGTGGCGAGCCCCACCCTTGGTCAACACCACTGCCTTAAATCAACATCCTACCTTCTGCTGCTGGAGCCACCGTGGCTCCAGTTCCTAGTTCTGCATTCACAGTTCCACTGATAAGACTCTGTTCATAAGTAAATAGGGCAGCATCACTCGTGCTTACGGGAACGTGGGGCTCAGCAAAGACACCATGGACTCTACTCACAGCATCATATATGCACAATAGTTTTATTTTGTTTTTATATAAAAAAAATCCTAACGAGTGCAGAATTCCTGTATCCTATTTTCTTACACAAACGCTTCCAACACCTTTTTTTTTTTTTAAGCTAATTTCCCCCTAACAACTTGCAATGGCATGGGTTCCCCTGATTCTGGCCTAGTCACCCTTTCTAATGGGATATGTCTAAAGCTGCAATATGGCACTTGGTTCACTTAGTTGGCAGGTTTAATATATCCAGAAAGCTGGGGTATGAAGTCTCACCCTGCTCGGAGTCCATGAGCGCAGGCAGCGAGCCCGCCTTCGCGTCCGTGTGTCCAGGATTATACAGCGCGCACGCTACTCAGCCGTTTCTCCTTACTGTGCAAACAACAGGCTTCTGTCACTGATCAGCCCTGTTTCAAGGTATCCTCTCCTCCGAAGAGGATTTCATCTTCAAGTCAGGAAGCAGCAACACAGTCAAGCAACTGTCCACAGCAGTCCCACGTGCTGAGGCCTGATCAGTCAACTGTACCATTATAAGACTTGCTGAGCTTGTTGAATGTGAAATCTAAGCTATGTGTGGAAATAGGCTTTCGGTAGAGAGGATTGGATGCCTTTGGAGAAATAAAAACAGACAAAAAGAACAGAGATAAGGACAAAAATTGCGTGCTGACTGAAATATGTGCAATGTCTCCCCTCTTACCCCCCCACCACTGCCATCAGTTTGGAGATAACGCCGTCCGGCTTTGACTGAAACGTCCCATTCAGGCGCGGAAACAGCATCGTGACGCCACCGGCGCTGCGGCACCAGGTCAGACCCAGTCTAGCACATCTTGCATCCTGCCTGCATACACTAAGTGATGCTCTCAAATGCTGAGCAACCCTAGCTAAACAGGACGCCTCAGAGAACATGCTTCCCCGCAGACCTGACCGACTGACCACTTCTAACAGATGGCATACAACGAGCACCGACGTTTTCTACATGCTGTTTCCTCACAAACCTGAGGACAAAACCTGGCTCTCACAGTACAGCAGCAGTCTGAGTTTGTCCCATTCCCTCTCACCACCACCACCACCTTCCTTCAACCCTCCAGCACTGCTGGAAAACGAATTAACAAAGCCAGAAGGTCAGAAACAAGTTTGCAGACTATTTGCAGCGTGCCCTGCTGAAGACAGTGCGACACGCCTGAATCCAACCGACGCTGCAGGGAAGCGATGGGCAGTCTCTGCCCCAGCGAGGGGGCGGGTTGGGCGCACGCATCCCCCGCGCCCACCACCGTTCACCGTCGCTGCCGAGCCGCCCGCGCAGGCCAACCTGGCGAACTCCCGCCTGTCGTGAATGGTGACGAGCAGCTTCCAGATCGCCAGCAGCACGATGCCGATCAGCAAGATGCTGCCCCCCACGACCAGCAAGATGGTCAGGACGTTGGGTGCTGAGCCGCACTCTGGGGAGGAGGAGGAGGAGGAGAAATAAACCAGCTCTCACACGGATGCACCTCACAGCCCTGGATCACAGCCACTGATCAAGTGACCTCAGGGCAGTGCAAGTAATAGTGACTAAAAAAAAAAAAAAAAAAAAAAAAAAAGCCCTCTCTGAAACTGAAGCAACTTTTGAAATCCAAGAGCAAATATTCCCAGCCAGATGGAGGTCAAAGGCAAAGTTCTCACTGACGTCAGTAGGACCAGGCTTTCACACAGCGCTTTGGTAAAAGAGCCTTGCCCTAGCCCCACCTGAAGCCTGTTTTTAATGCAGGGTAACTCCTCTGCAGACACAGATGGTTAAGGCCTGAATTCAGCACTTTGCCTGCAGCAAAATGTATTTCAGCTTCTGGTCCACACTGACACGGAGACGGGTGCTTACTAGACACTTTAAATAAGCATGTTAACTGTCAGCTAATCAACTGCTCTTTCAATTAAGTGTACACTGCAGCAAAAAATAAAATGCGCAGTCTCTTAAGACTTTTCCCATACCGGCCTGTTTCTCAGAGGACCAGAGCGGACTGCTAAAGCTACTTGCTGGGTGCTGGCCAGCTCATCTTGCGATACCACAAGGGCCTTTCTTTGAGAAACTGCATTGCACGTGATTAAAATGATATGCACAACACATGCTGGGAAACACAGCTGTCTTGGGCAGCCTCGGGGGAGAGGAGCAGGAACACAGCTACATTACGCTGCTTGGAGCAGAGCTAGTTCTTGGAAATACAAAAAGATCCAGAGGTGTTCCAGGGTTTTCCTAACTTCCTGACTTAAAGAACGATAGCACCAGGTGTCCTGTGCGCCCCTTTTTGCTGAGAGTGGATGTATTTAAAAAATCAGTATAAGACAAGTTTTTTGCACCTCAATAGCCGGTTTGAATTTCATTCTCCTGATCTGGCATAAAGCTCTTCAGCCATTTGGTAGCAATGCTGGAGGCTCAGATGCAAATTTCACTCTCAGTCAAAATCCTTTTTTCCTACTAAGTTGGGAGCATTTGGATCAGGGTCGCAGCATTGTAAAACACCTCATTTTTTACATCATTCAGATTCTTTTCCTCCCACGTGCCTTTCTGCCAGCCAGTCACGTTCAGCGGTAGCCTGTCACCTCCTGGGAGGCAGCCTGCGCTATTAAAATGAAAACCAAAGGAGGGCCAACCTGGCTCTCTGAGGACGGTGAGGTTGGATTTCCCACTGGCGAGCTCCGAGTAGGTGAACTTCATGACGCAGTCGTTGACCGGGTAGGCGCACAGGACCGAATTCTGGTCATCTGTTTCTGGAAGGAAATGAAGAGCGTTGCTGAGCCCCCGCCTCGGCATTAGCCCCAACAGACACCAGGACACCTGGGGAAACGCGACACGGGGCAGCCATCCCGGATGCAGCCTTTCAGGCTAAAAGACCTCGGCGCGCGACGTCACGCTTGGCCGTTTGCTGCTCAGCTGTTGTCTTTGCGCGGAACGAAAAGCCCGGCCCCGTCCAAAGGCCCGGCCTTAGAGCTGGCCGTGTTTTCTGGAGCTCTGTAACTCTGGGGACTGTGAATTCCTTTAAATATGAGGGGCTTCCTGTTGTACATATGGTGCACATTACGGCCCAGTTCCAATGGCTGGAAGAGACGGAGCCATTAGCACAACATGGGGGAAGGGGGAAAGCAAGGGAGGGGGGAGGAGGGAAAAACATAAAGCCCGCCACCATGGTGCCTTAGCTTTGCATGTACACCTGGTGCCTCTCCAGGAATACTTGTCGGAGAACAAGCCTGGATGGATTTAGTTACTTTTAGAGGGGAAAAAAACCCCAGGAATTAACACAAGTGCCCAAGAGGAGCTTTGAAGCGCTCTCTGCAAGCTGAGCCATGCTTTCCACAGATGCCAGGGAATGGAGGAATATGGACCAAAAAGAGACCTCGGAAATTTAGCACAGTGAGATCAAGATTTGTGTGAAAATCTGCCTTCTCACCAGAACTGCCGCAACGAGCGAGGGCCTGCCCTGCTGGCACTGCCAGCTGCCTCCCCGCTGCAGGAAGCAGCGCTGAGCAAAAAAAACCTCAGGTTTTGCTGGCCGTGCTGAGGTGGGTAATTGGTCCTCTAGACCGATCACCAGCGATGCCTGAAGTAAGCGTTTTAGTAGCCCCTTTCTAAGCTCAGACGCTCCTACAGTGCTGAGCATACAGGGATGCTGAGGCAGGCAAAGACTGCACAGTCTTTACAGTACAAATAAAAATAGAGAGTAGTGTCCAGACTTGCTTTTCAAGACAACTTTGCACTTAACGGAAGATGCAGGGCAAAGAGAAGCGATCTCATACACGTATACACGTTTCCGTCACACAAGTCTACTCTGGAAATAGACGCCACTTTCTTCTTAATATGCTAAACTGCTTAAGGTTTCAAAGCTGAAGAAAAGCGATGGGCACTGATTCGTTCTCTGAGGAGAGCCGTGAATGTAACACAAGCGGGGATATTATCAGAAACGCAGTCCATCTCCGCTTGCATTCCAGCTGAGCTGAATTGCTTCAGCTCCGGAAATAGCTACGAAGTTTATTTTTAAAGGATGAGATAGAAGAGGAAAAAGGGGGAGAGGGAGGGGAGGAAATAGGAGGAAGGGAGGAGTTAGTGGAAGGAGAGGATGTGGAGATGGGGGAGTTGCAAGAAAGGAGAATATTTGATTTCTGTAGAAATATGGGTGCTGTTTGCTTGGCTGATTTTTTAACACTATCTTAGCATCAAGCAGATGCTGTTGCTGCTCTGATCACTAAAAGGTGCTTCTGTAGAAATGCTGTCTCACAGAAGTCACCAAGAACTTTCAGTAAAGTGGTAATTTGAGGTTTGCTGATAGAGCTATAACTTCAGTGATGATTTCAGCAAAGTTGCTTCCTTACACTGACACAGCACCAGGGCACTCTCACGGTGAAGGGAGAAGGGAAGAAACAGATGGGGCAGCATCTTGAAGCCACGCCAAGCAGTTCTGCAAGAGCACATCTCTTTACGGCCTGGGTTTGTGGGCTGGGATTTTCAAATAAGAATAAGAGATTTGGGCACACAGGTCCTATTGGCTGACAAAGAAGTGACCTTGGTTTAGGCACCTGGAAAAACACTTCCCACAGCTTTCCTTGCCAGCAGTATCTGCGCATGTCCATCATGTTGAAAAATGATTGCATTAATCACCACTGCTATTTCAGCCCCTTATCTCTCTCCCTTCTGTTTGTCCTTCCTCTCAATGTCTTTGTCCTGCTTCCATTTGGAAGATGAATACCCTCCACTTCAACAGCGCTGAGCCCAGCTGCCAAGGCACCTCTGACAAGGGACTCCTGGTGTAGACAAACCTCAGCTGTTTCTACCCCGTGCTCGTAAAACCTGCTCTGTCTGCACCAGTGGTATGGAGAACTGCTGGAGGCTGGAGAACTGCTGAGAGCTCTTGCAAAGCAAAGTACTAATTTGATTAAAGCAGACGAAACTGCCGTGTTTCTTGCCCAACACTCTCCTGTACTTTTCAGCAGTGAATCTTAGTTCCTCCAAGCCCAACTACTTTCAATCCCATACTTTCACCATTATTCTGCTAATACATATGGTGATTAAAGGCTCAATAGTAATGATTTCCGTTTGCTAGGTTTCAGAGATCACACATCCCCAGAGAGAGGAGTGATGGATCCACTGAGCTTTCAGGCCCTGTGAAATACGTGCTCTGGGCAGGCTCAGGCCAGCACTGGACTTGTCACGCTCCTTTCATGTTAAAGGGCACTCTCTGGAGCCAGTAAGACTGGAAATTTAATATTGCAAAAGTGAAGGAGATCCTGCAGAATATAATGCACGTCATACAAACCTCCCAAAAGGCATAGCTCTGGCTCACGAGCCCAACATCGGATGCCTCTGCTTCATAAAGCTCTGAAGGACTGGCTGCTCCATACCCAGAGTGAAAACAGAGCCTGGGAACTTCCAGGGTATGTTCCTTGCAGCATGATACCTAAAAGGGTCCCGTCATCCACTGCTGGATGGACACAGACCTAAGTCTCCTGGCTACAGGTGGCAAATATCAGTGTTCTCACTTT